AAATGACTCATATATGTTGCTAGGCTCCAATCATCCTCAGGCCCCATCCGGTCTTTGGCTCCACTGACTTAGCAACAAAACTATTCGTTCCCTCTCCTCTGCTGCCACCATGTGGTCACAACAGGTTATAACCAGTACTTTCAAATGTTTTGGCAGGGCCTGGGATTTAACTTCAACTTGTGATCTGGTTCTCAGTGAGCATAGGCATCTAACACTCCTCTGATCAAAGATATGTAACATTCCTGGCTGAGCAATATAACAGCCGGCCTTCTGCCCTAGTGCAGAGAATTTCAGCCTCCTTGGGAATTTTCCCCACTTCAGCAGGAAATATTCACGCCTGTCAACTTAGATCAGAGACCAGAAATGACACAGTCCCTATCCCCAAGGACTTCATAGTCTGATATGTAAGCAAACAATTACAATCTATCTTTGGCAACCACACAGGCAGAAGGTGGGATGACCCTCCAGGAAAGGGAGAGGTGGTCACTCAAGTCACCAGGACATCACATCTCACCTGTGGGGAAACGGCATACTCCCCACGAAACACAGAATGATAGTACAAAAACCACAGTCGGACACTTACTTGAGAGACTCTGTGTATTAAGTAAGCAAAGTGCTAAGTGCTTTACCAGTGGTAACTCATGAGCTTGTCCTCCAACCGACTGTTGTCCCCACGGTGCCGGTGTGGACACCAAGGCACAGCCAGCACGAGAGCCAGGCTTTGAGCCCTCAAACTTTCCTTACCCAATGTCACCATAAGCTGTCAGAGCACACACAATGACATGATTGCTTCTTTCTGAAGAGGTGAGAAAGACTTCAGAGTTCAGAGAAGATGTGAGATCTCGACTGAGTTTGGAAGGATAAATGGGGTTTTCCCACGCAGTCAAGGGAGACCCAGGGTCTTGGCTAAGGCTCTTTTCTGACCGGTGGACTCAAGGCTCTGTGGAGAATGGATAGTAAATAACAGACGACATTTATGGACAGTCTACCATGTGCCACCCCACACGGGGGACTTCGGCTCACTGAATGAATGTTTGCAGCAATGATCTGAGAGGGCCACTGTGTTTACCCACACTGGGGAAATCAAAGGCCAGAGGGACTAAGAATTTACCCGTGGTTAGTCATACAATCAAAAATAAATTCTTTGGTTGGAGGGAATAAAGACAGGAGTGAGCCTTCTCTTATACTGTGGGGACTTCAAACTAGGTAAATGTTTCACCTACTCAAAAAAAAGCTAAATTAAAAAAGACGAATAAAAGCAAACCCAAACATTGAACCGAGTGGAAATAAACAAATCTATTTCTATATCAAGTCCATAATATAACCACAGAGAAAAAAATTAATTAAAATCTTTGTCACTCAATACTCTATATATACTTAAGCAGATACACTCTAAAATTCTTTTAAAAACTGCAGAGAAATCTTGACATTTTTCACAGTTATTATTGTCAGCAAATTATGTTAGCAAATTATTATTGTCAGTGTAATTATGGAACTACTATGTATAATTAGTAACTATATGGATGTAGGGAATTGTGTTTCTATCGGAAATATCAACATGAACTCATTTTTTTTTAATGTTTTTTTTTCCTGCTCTGTCCCTGGAAAGGGCCTTGAAGCACTGACATCCCAGGAGCACCCAGATTTCAGTTCTAAATGCCACTCCCACAAAAGGCACCAGCATTTCTAAGAAAACAGTTAATTCCAAGTCCTAAGCAAAGAAAGACCCTGATCCACAGGATCCTGGACCATCTTAGGCCAAATAGAAAGGAAGGGACCCAAGACTAATCAAAAGGATACAGGTATTGGCTTTAAAAGACTACTACTGGCCAAAACCACCAAAAATTTAAAAAGATGGTAATAGACATTGAATTTATAAAGATCTATAAGTCCACAGATACTGAGAGAAAGAGAAGGGAAGGTAGGTTCTACTTTGCAGAAGGCTGCCAGGTAATAAGTGCAAAAGAAATGACAGCATTAGGAAATCACTAATGCAGTGACTTGGTTCAGGTAAGGACCATCAATAGATACTAACACTTAGGGGGGTAGATAGGCACACAGTCTCAGAGTAGCACATCACAGATTACTATTTTCAGAGAGGAAAGTAACTGTAACATGGAGATCTGACATTCACCACCTTAACCAGGTGATTAAACCTAGGATTACCAAGCTGACATCAGGTACCCCCTTACCTGATGCAGTAAGAACTATATAACATCACTTCTGTTCACATTTTTGTCAAAAATGGGGAAGCAAATCAGAATGTGGACATTCTGTAGGGCAACTGGCCTGGACTCTTCAAAAAGCCATTACTATGAAAAGTAAGAACAAAGATAAGGGGGACTGTTCTGGATTTAGAGTAACAAAAATTCAATGCGTGCAAACCTTGATTGGACCTGGATTTTTATCTTGAAGAAAAACATTATTAAAGAGATTTTGAGAACAAGTAGTAAACATTGAATATGATCTGTATTTTGGGTGCTATTGAATTATCATTAATTTTCTTCGGTGTGATGATGGTATTGTGGTTGTAAGGGAGAGAGATTTTATTCTTTAGGAGACACTGAAGTTTTAGAAGCAAAGTTTAGATGTCTGCAACTTCGTTTCAAAGGGTTACGCATACTCACACTCAGCAAATGTAGCAAAATGTTAACTATTGGTAAAGCCATGTGAAGGGGATACAGGTGTTAATTATTAATAGTCTTTAATTTTCCTGTAGGTCTTCAAGTTTTCAAAATAAAAGGTGAATTTTAAAAAATTCATTGATTCATAGAATTAGAGACCCCTAAAGGGTCTGAAGAGATCCTTCAGAAATCCACTGATCTCTGAAGAGATCATCGAATTCCACTTCTCATTTTACAAATGGAAACTGAGGCCCAGAGAGAGGAAGACACCTGCCTGGGGGCACACAGCAGGTCACCGAGAAAGCTAGAATTCACGTTCACTATTCTCCTCACTGCCACCCGCAGTGGGGTATGGACGGCAGTGAGACTGAGCAAATAGAGGGCCTTTGGGAAGAAGGACTTGGCAGAGCCGCTGCAGACAGGGTCACAGCCACAGTCCAGATGAGCAAAGGCTCTGACCTGAAACACAGGGAGGCCCAGGAGACTCAGGGCTGCATCCTGCTCCACTTCTCTTTCTCTCTTCAAATTCTCTCCCTTATTTTCTTCCTCCAACCTATTCTCTCTCCTACCTTTTTTTTAAAGTATTTACTGCATTGTCACTTGATCATTTTGCTTTCTCCACCAAGATGACATCAGAAAAATACAAATTGTGGAACTAGATCAACCTCCTTTCAAAATCTGGCCCTGCCCACTGCCTCTGCAACTTGAGAGTCACCTAATGCTAAGTTCTGGTTTCCTCATCTTCACCAAGTTACTGCTTCCCACCTCCAAAGCGTGTGGCATTTGATGAGCCAAAACGCTCATTTCTACATTTTTATTGATTCCTTATCAAGTGCCAGGCAGCTGTGGACATTGAGGACAATGACAGCACTTACTTGAAGGCTGCCTGCCTTCTAATATTACCTATGAGGGCTCACGTGACTCATCCCCATTTCACAGATGAGGAAACAGAGACATGGGCGGGGGGGAGTTTCTTGCCCATGAAGCTGGAACAGCCTCTTCCCAGAGTGAACACTCACTACACCACACACACGGAGGAAAACGAAGTCCATGTCCCAGGGGGGCTTTCATTCCAGAGGAAAGTGAAATCCGGAGGACTACTGAGACAGTTGCAAGAAACAAATACTCGTTTTTCCTTTCCCCAACTCTGGCTAAAAGAGTATCACGTGGCTAAGAGAAGCGATCTGAGCCCTCTCCTTTTCCAACTCCTCCCCCCACTCACTCTATAAATAAAGAGAAAGAAAACCAAAAAGTGAGCCCTTCGGTGACAGGTGAGGTCACTCACCTTAATCCATAGGGCAGAGATTCTTGAACTTGATCCTGCCTCCTGAGCACCAGGAGGTCTTGTGACAAGTGTGTTGAGCCTCTCCCAGAATTTTCAACACAGTAGATCCGGGGAGAGGCCTGAAAATGTGCCCTTTCTTCCTACAAGTTCCCCCCCAGTGAGGCTGACGCTGCAGCCCTGGGACCACACGTTGAGAAACACTGTCACAGAACCACCCACGAAACAGGTATTGTTCCCAGGGCAAAGGTGAGGAAGCTGAGCTTCAGGAGGCTGGGTGAGAGACGGCAGGATGCAAACCCTGACCGACTCTGACACCTGGGCTGTTCGCACTACACCAAGTTGGAGATTTGACACTAGGATTTGCCCATGCCTAGTCTGTTCACTTTACTCTAGAATTTCCATTCTTTTTAAAAAAAAAAACATTTTATTTATTTTTAGAGGGGAAGAAAGGGGAAAAACATCAATGTGTGGTTTCTCTCATGCGCCCCCTACTGGGGACCTGGCCTGCAACCCACGCATGTGCCCTGACCGGGAATCAAACTAGTGACCCTTTCGTTTGTAGGCTGGCACTCAATCCACTGCGTCACACCAGTCAGGGCAGAATTTCCATTCTTGAAAGGCAAAGTCTTGCCCTGGCTGGTGTAACGCAGTGGATTGAGCGTGGGCCTGTGAAGCAAAGGGTTGCCGGTTCGATTCCCAGTCAGGGCACATGCCTGGGTTGCAGGCCAGATGCACAGTAGGGGATGCATGAAAGACAACCATACATTGATGTTTCTTTCCCACTCTTTCTCCTTCCTGTCCCCTCTAAATATAAATTTAAAAAAATATATTTTTAAAAAGGGCAAAGTCAAGGTTACTTTCATTTCCAATGAGAACCAAAAAATTGCTGGTAAAAGCTCCTTTAAATGTTCCTGTTCATAACCAGTAAGTCCTCTTCTAGAAATGTATACTAAGAGAATGACTGACAACAAAGCCCAAAACACAAAGTTGCTAAGTGTTTTAGCAAGAAACTGGGACTCAAAGTATCCAATATTAAGGGACTGAGTAATAAATTATGGCATATCCAAATGATGAAATATTAAGAAGCCATTAAAAATTATTTATTTTGAATTTATATAACATGTAAAAGATTTATAATATTAAATAAAACATAACACATAACTAAATTCAGTAAGTTCTCAATGTTATTAAAAACAATGAAAAATGAAATAAACTAGAACATTGACAACAGTTGCCTCTGATATTCATAATTTTCTGTACTTTCCACATTTTCCCAATGAGCTTTCATAGTCAGAAAAACCGAGCATTTTCTTTTAGTTGATTAACAACAACGGGTATTTTCAAGACCCACCATCTAAGTTAGTCAATTCCTAAACAGTCAGGAAAAGCAAAACTGAATTTTATAGCTAATATTTAATTGCAAGTTACATTTTCCCCGACCCTCGGTTAAAAAAGAGAAAAGAAAACACATAAGTGATAATCATTACTGTACATACACAGAAAGAAGACCGAAAAGATATCTGTAAAAGTGATAACGGATTATTTTTGGTTGGTAGAATTATAAGGCTTTTTATATCTCTTTTTCGCTTAATTTTTAAAACATTTTCTATATCTATTATCTATTCCTTTTATAATAAAAAAGTCTGTGCTTTTTTTAAGAGACAACCAATGAGCAAATTACAGCACATCCCATACAATGAAATATCCACAGCCACTTAGAAATGTTGTAGGAGAGGATTTATAACATGGAAAAAGTCTGCTGCATTGGCTGACCACACCATAAACAGCATGTTCAGAAATGATCCCACTGTTCAACAACAAAACATCTATGCCAACACAGAAAACATCTTGGAAGAAAAGCTTAGAAAAAATATCCACATTAAACAAAAAAGATTATGTGTTAAATAAAAGACAGAGAAGGACTGAGCAGGAGCATGTTACTGAAAGATCCTCCTTTAAAAAGGCTTTGCAGCGTGCCACCCCCTCCCCAGCCCTCATCTGTAACTGTCTTCCCCCCACTCTAGACTTAATGCTCCAGGGGCACATGGGCTCCAGCAGCAGAAACCACCCCTCTTGATGGGCAAACACACATCATTTGGAACCTTAAAAAAAGACCCCAATAGCCCTGGCTGGTGTGGCTCAGTGGATTGAGCACCAGCCTATGAAACAAAGGTTGCTGGTTGGATTCTCGGTAAGGGCACATGCGTGGTTTTGCACCCAGGTCCGCATGAGAGGCAACCACACATTGATGTTTCTCTCCCTTCCTTTCTCCTTCCCTTCCCCTCTCTCTAAAAATAAATAAATAAAATCTTTAAAAAAAAAGACCCCAATAGAGAACGGGGTCTTGGGGAAAAAATTTAACTGCCTTCTTGGACTATGGATCTGATTAGAATGAAATAAACTTACAATCATTTGATGAAGGAAATGCACTATTTATGTTGCAAACAACACACTAACTACAGAATTATGCTCCTGGACTTGGCAGGGGCCTCTGAGTTCATCTTCAGACAATTTCCAGGATACTGTCTTTAGGATGCTATGTAAATATTGACTCGAAACAACGAGGCTGTCATGCTGGAGGATCTGAAGTAAACCATTCAAAAGCCTGGTTCCTGTTTATACAGTTTTAAGTCACTTCACTGCTAACCACAAGGTGATTCAGCATTCTGATTTAATGTAACAATTTCTTGACTTTATGTATAATAAAAGGGACTACAAAGAACTGCTGCGAAGCCAGGAGACACAGAAAGGAATAAAAACAAACAAGAGACATGTCTTCCAGCCCAAACAATGAAAAATCCACGCCACTGGACTGTCAGTTCAGTCTATCTCTAAATCACTGTCCTCACTGTGACACGTGGCGGAGTTACGCACAGACGTCAGCACCAAGACTTCCTTATCTGGGAGCAATCCAAATTCCTGTAGAAAAGCCTCAAGGTCCACAGCAAAGAAGTCTTCACCCAGCTGGTCTGTGACTCGAACAAAATTACCAATCAGTTCACCCGCCTTGTAGATCAGCAGGGCAGGAAGGGCGTTCCTGGTGAACCGACTGCTGGCCCCGATAACCGAACTCTTCACCCGGCAGAACTTGACAGCCGGGTACTCAGCGGCAAGGCAGATCATGCAACCATGCATGGCGTCGGTCCCCGGAATGCCGTCCTCATAGATATGGACCATGATGAGGGTGCTTTTCTGTTCCTTATCAATCATGTCCAAAAACCCTTCTCCACTGGGGATCTCAAACACCTGCCTGAACTGGGGCCCCTTGTGAAGCTGCTGCCGCATCTCTTCCATTCTCTGCTTCCGGTACTGCTGCAGAAACTCTTCATCGTCTTGGTCCTCACTCATCATGGCAAACTCCTTCAGAGTCATCTGAAGGAGGACCAGCAAGTGAGCGTCAGAAACACAAACTGAACAGCTGTGGTAACAGTTAATATGGACCGCACGCCTGTGACACGGGCGGCAGCTTGCTCAACGCTCTGCACGCACCACGTCTCATTGAAATTTCAGCTAACCCCATCAGAAAGGGACCTTTATTACCCCTACTTTACGAACGAGGTTCCGAGACTTAAGATCATGTGCACAAATTCACATAGGTCACAAGTGCAGTAAGGCCAGGATTCAAACTCAATGGTTTAAAAACCCAGGCTTTTAACTACTGTATCGATACTGCGTCTCAATCCAAATAGGCAGCATCAGATAATAGCACTTTGTGAGCTTTTTCCTTGTTGTCAGTCTCAACAATAAATTAATTATTATTTTAGGCACGGTTTTGTTTTTGTTGACTAGACAACAGGACATTAAGGAGCTTTAAAGAGAACATTCACAATCCCCACCTGACCTACACATCACACATAATAGTCACATGCTAAAATGGCTTTTGCTTTTGTAATAGCAGTGTGGGTGTCCTGACTAAGTCATAACTTGCTTCTTTTACCCCTTAGCATGATTATATTGTAAACATCTCATGTTTCCAAATATTTTTTACAAAATTATACATCATGTGCCACATTTTGCTTTACGGTGCCCTATTTCCAGAATCCAGGCGGTTTCCACTCTGTTCTCCTGCAGTCAGGTGAGCAGGGCACCTGTGACTGTGTGGCGTGTTGCCTCCTCACTATGAGGAATCCCGTGAGCAGGGGGCACACTGCCCTGCAGCCAGCTTGTTACAAGAACGTCTTCCTTCTCCTGCCTAGGGCAGCAAGCCAGCCCAGCCCCCGTAACGAAAGCCTCACTCGGCCTAGCCTGGCACAGATTAGAGGGTGGAGGCTGAGGGACCACTAGACCAGGACAGATGCTACTGCCTCACAGCCAGGACCACTCTGACCTCAGTTACTTATCATCCCCAATCTTCACCCCATCTCAGAGCTCTCCACTCCACTCGGCCTGCCACAGTGGCTCTCCCTGACCTGTTCGGTCTTAGTTTCAGTCTAATGCTCTCAAATTGTATCATTTTGGTCAAGGTGAATGCCTCCTCACTTAAGCTTCATCTGCTCTCTGATCCAGCCTGGCACTTCCGGCTGCTTCGGGCCATAGCCAAATGATCTCTGGCACTCCTGGACATTCATCTGTGGTCACAGGGCATGGGATAACATAGAGTCCTTTTGATACTGGGAAGAGACAGTCAGTGACTCAGTTCCATGTACCTGCCAGAGTGTCTATTTGCTTCTACAGCATCGCCTCATGAGCATAAATTCTCAAGAACAGGCTTCCAGTGAAACAGAGCAACGTCATGAAAAGAGCAGGAAAATCTGGCTTAGAATCTGAGTCCCTATTAGATTTCCCCAGCTGCATGGCTCTGATCAAGTCCCCTCTATCTCTAAGCACTGGTTTCATCATCTTTCAAATTGAGATAATACCACCAACCTTGGTGGGTAATTTCTGGACCAAGGTCACAGTCCAATAAAAGACAGGAAATTCACATTTACTGAGTACTTTCAGCGGGCCAGGCACTATGATGGCGACTGTACACACACAGCCCTGTGAGTAAGGATACTGACCTTATTTTAATCCATGAAAAGCCAGACTGAGAATGGAAGAGACATGCCCCTGGTCACTACTTGCTGAGCTGAGATTCAAACTCACGTGTGTCTTACTTATGATATGACTCTATATTCCAACACTACCCAGCTTCTTGGGGGCTGAATCTAACACCCTACACATCCTGAGTCATTAACCCCAGATGCAGAACCAGGGCAACTTCGGAGAAAAACCTGGGCACTGTGAATTACCTTCCCACTGATCTTCTCCTGGAGGTCCTTCTGTTTCCGTTGCTCCTCCTCTTCATCCAGATGGGACCTGCAGGTCATTGAGAGCTTCTTGATCAGCCTTTCCATCTCCCGACACTGCTCCTCCCTTTGCTCTGTCTCCAACTGTTTGAAGCGCCGCCAGTCATTGATCACCCCCTTTGGACCTGGGTCGGGGTGAACATGGAGGTAACCAAGAAGAAAGGGCAAGGAGTCACGGGCCAGCTCACAACTGTCAAACGCTCGCAGCATCTACTCCACAGTGACACTCACACAGGTCAGCGTGGCCCACACACTATGATGTCCACTGCAGCATCATTTACAGTACTTACAGGGCCAAGCTCAGGGTCCAACGTTAAAAGATGCATCACATAAATTATGATTCATCTACTCAAAGGAAAGCGCAGGTACTCTTAGAAAGAGGTAGCTCTTTTACCATGAAAGATGGAAGATGTTCAAGTATATTAGGTTAAAAAAAAAAAGAACAAAATGCAAAGCAGTATCATGGTATGATCCTCCAATTTTTAGAAGAGATGTATATATATGTTAAACATTTATGGATATCTATATACATGCATATACATTTGTATGTTCATAGAAAAAGCACCAGAGGGACATGCAAACTGTTGACAGTGGTTGTCTGTAGATGGCAGGATCTAAGGGGTCTTTTACTTTTTTCTTTCTATGCTTCTGTATGATCTGACTTTTTATAACATTATGGCAGGTTGTCCTGTTATTCATGCCACCCCCGTACCTCCCTGCCCCATATCACGGGTAGTACCTCCTGTGGGATCAGCACATGCAACCCCACAGGCTGATGCTGGGTCTGGTCATGTGACTTTCATTGGCCAATGGACTCTGAGCAAAAGCTTCATGAGCCACTCCATGCCTCTGACAGCCCTCTCTTGCTCCTTGCACTTGGTCATGAAAGCAGCATGTCTTTCAGCTAGTTACTAGAATGAGAGGGTACGTAGAGCAGAAGCAGAGCTGCTGCTGACCCACACAGGGAGCACTGCAACATGACAGAGAAATCAACTTTTGTTATGTTGTCACAAGCAACTGGGATGTGGCTGTCTTTTGTTACCACAGAAAAAAAATAATAGGAATCTATGTGCTAAGCTGTATAGCCCAAACCAATATATAGTAAGTTTAAAGAAAAAAAGAACTATGTGAAGAAAATGGTACCAAGAAACATTAAGAAAGAACTGAATAAATAGAAAGGCAATACCACTTTCCTGACTAGACTCAGACTCACATATGGTTGTCAATTATCCCTAAGTTAATCCAATGAAATATGTGATTACATGTGTGTGCATGCTCCTAAAATTTCTTTGGAAAAAGAAGAAAACACAAGTTAGGAAAATAACATTGGAGAATATGGAGGGGGGAGTAGCCCTAACAGATACTAAAACTTCTTATAACACAACAATTAAAAACAGTGTAATACAACATGGTAAAAGACAAACTAATGGGTGAATAAACATTTAAGTGTAAAAAAATAGAATCATAAAAACACTGAGAAAACGCATGGAGTGAAGAAAGGTGTTTTAAGAAAGAAACAAAATTAAGAACTATAAAATAATGCTTGTAAGTACATAAAAATAAATTTTTGCCAGGAAAAGAACATAAAGCCAAAAGACAAACAACAAATTGGCCGAAATATTTACAATTCATATCATAGATTAAATTTCCTTAATATATAGCTCTCTAAGAAGAAAAAGACCAACCACTCAATTTAAAAGTGAGCCCAGAATATGACAATATCTCTAAAGTTATGAAAAGAGGCTCAGCATTACTCTTCAAAAAAGAGAAAATAAAACTGCAAGGAGTCACCACCTGTCACCCACTGGGATGGCAAAGATGAGAAAGTGTGAGCACACAGTAGGAGGGCAAGTGTACTGAGAAACACCATGCTGTTGCTTAAATGATAACACAGTGCCACCTCCACTTGATAGCAATTTGGAATTTGTAAAATGGAAGGATGTAAATATGGCATCCTAGGAATTTATACTACCAATATATTCACACCTACAATTTATGTGATATCAAACAACTACTAATTTGAGAAGCTAGATTCAAACCCAGCCCAGTCTATATTCACTACTACGGTGCTACGCATACACATTTGTATTGTACAGAGACATGGCTAGAGGCACGCACAGTGAAATGACAACACTAGATTGTCTCTGGAAGTGGGACTAAAATTAGAGAGAAGTGATCAGGAGGCTTCCAACTGATACCTACTTATTGGACATTTCTAAACCTGCTCCCAGAGCTCAGGGATTTCTAGTACCTGTGTTAACTGAGATGCCTTCGCCTGCCAACTCAGCATCTGCAGGCATGGAACTGCTGGCCAGGGCACTCCCGCCTTCATCCTTGTCCTCACGGTCACTGTCCTCGTCCTCACTGCTGCTGTAATAGTACTGCAGCTTCTCCCCCAGCAACTTATCATCCAGAGTCGTCATGGCGCCTGGAAGAGGGCAACAAACCTGTTAGGCTCTTTGCTGGCTTCGAGGAGACAGACTTGAATCTGGAGAGTAGGAGCTCGCTTGTGCTGAGATCCCACTATTCAGAGGACCCTAAAAGTGACTTTTTTCAACAGTAGGATCTCAACAAATCCATACCATGATACGGTGGGATAGGGTTAATCAGGCTCTTTCTGTAGAAGGTGAAACTGAGGCTCAGTTAAGGGAAGTTTCTTCTGAACAAGGGCCACTAGTACTTGTGATAAGTGTATCAGTGTGGTGGCTTGGAGAAATCTACTGACTGACTGGAAGTTTTATTTGCACACACATTTAGGTTTTCTTATCCGTGAAGGCTGCTAGGTAATTGAAATATTGAGTAAGAACCCTCACAAAAAAACTCCAAAAAGCAGCCGAGGATGATGCCGAGTCACTAAGCCAATCACTTGTCTGTCTGATGCCTTCAACCCAGTCAGCACACTGAAGGTTTGGATGGATGGGGTCTGAAGCCCTACCAACTTTGGTTTAAAAAAAGAGCCCATGACAAGATTTTACTACTTTCCAAGAGTTTAAAGGACAACCAACTGTTAAAGGCCAATAGTCTGCATCAGAAGCAGCCTGGGACATTTGGAGAGAAAGGCACAGCTTAGCCTCCCACAGATCCAGCAGGGAGGGTGTAAACTGCAGCACTCACTCCTTCCAGGAATCATAGCAATACTATGCTCCCTTCCTTTAAGACTTAACTCCGGGCCGGTTACACTGCGTTTCACAGTGACTTTCCCACAGATCAGGAAGCTCTAGAAAACAGGGGCGTCCACTATCCAGCGCCAGGCCTCCGCACAATTTGCAAGCCCAAACGGAGACAGCCTGGATCGGTGAGGGAATGTGGGGATCCCAGCAATCAGATGGGAAGAGGAGCACAGCACGCAGGGTTAATTGAAAGAGGGGAGCAGGTGCTAAGAGGGGGAGCAGAACCAAACTTAAAGAGGAGTAGAAGAGCCAAGGCGGTGCAGGGTGGACACTGCGCGACCGGTCGCTGGCGTGTTTAGAGCGGGCGGGGCCGCAGAGGGGTTTCCGGAGAAGACTTGGCAGCTGAAGGAAGCGCGGTGAGGGCGGGGCCGGCAGGCAGGTTAGAGACGCCGGCGGCGCCTGCAGATGGGTTTGCGAGGCGACGGGGCCGGTGGGGGGGCTCGCAATGGGGCGCGAAGAAACTTTGTAGTAGCCCGATGGAGGTGGGGCCAGCAGAGGAGGCGGGGCAGGGAAATCACGGAGCCCTCGGGGGTCGAAGGGACGCGAGGACAAAGCGGGCCGCTCTTCGCCCGTATTCCACCACGTCCCACCCACAGTCCACGCCTGCCGCGTCTTCCCCCCCGACCTCAGCGCAGTTACCCGGCCTAGCTCGGTCCGGATCCTTCTGGGCTGGTGGCTCCGGGCACCTGAGAAGAAAGGGAGCGTTTGGAGGGAGTGATGTGGCTCAGCGCCTTGAACTCTAAGAGACGAGCTGCCGGCGGCCGACGGCAAGGACCTATGAGACGGGCTTCCTGAGTAAAGACCAGCACACGCGGCCCAATTAGAGGAAGCCTCTCCCAGCGGCCGAGTGAGAGCTATGGGTCCGACTTTGGGACAAAACACCTCTACAATAGTAATGCGCTCTCATTTGTTTATTACAGTGAAAAGCTGCATTACACATACCCAGCTCTAAAGAGTAAGGAAAATGTATTCGGTCACCTTTGACGTTTCTGAAACTATTCCATATATATTGTTTATTGTTTTTAATCACATGACGGCTATTAGGTCAGAATCGGAGGCATTACGTACTTTGCCCAAACACACAGCTCTTAGATAAAAAAAAATTTTTTAAAAGGCAGGTCCATGATAATTAAATGCAGTGAGAAATCTTGGATTGCATCTTAAAACAGGAAAAGGATGTGAGTAGAATAACTCCCAAATTTGAATAAGGTCTCTTTAATAATAGTCTTGTATCAATAGTTTTGATAATTGTACTATGGGTTATGTAAGACGCTAACCTTTGGGGATTTGGCTTAAAGAGTATAAGGGAACTTTACACTATTTTCGCAACTCTTTAAAACCTGAAGTTATTTCTGAGTCCTTATTAAAGTGTCCAATACACACCACGAAGTGCCATATTTTCTCGTGTATAATGCACACCCACGTTTTTTTGGCACAAACTTTCAGGAAAAAAAGTATTTTGTTTTAATTTTTAATTCAATTATTTATTTATTTATATTTAGTAACAAAACCGATCATTGTATTCCAGGTTATTATTTCGCATGCAGATATTATTGCTTTCTAGAATTACGCTTTTAATGCATAAGCATAAATAAAAGAATTGCAAACATTTGTATAGATACAAAATTGGTACTACCCATGTATAATGAACATCCTTATTTTTCCCTCAAGAATTTGGGCAAAAGTGTACATTATACACGGCAAAATATGGTAACTCCTAGAAAGCTTTATGTAACTTGATTCATTCAAAATACACTAAAATGAGATACACTGTTTAATGTAGGGCTCTTAATTTAAGAAAGAATTTCTTAATTTGTGGGTTCTACCACCATGTAAAAGTGTCTGCAAATATGTATATGTGTATGTTTTTCTGAGAACCTGTTTGTTCAGAATATCAAGAGCAAACCCTCCCCTGTTCCCAAATTTAAGAACAATTCATCAAAAAGATCCAACGGTGACTTTGTATGTTTGTTTGCATGAACAGCCGACTTGAAAATGCTTGTGATCTCCTTTAAGTGGCAAGTCAGCACCCAGCAACAGTGCCTCTTCATGGGAGATTCCCCACAAATATTTGCAAAATCAATACTAGAGGAATCCTTGTCTTTGAAATTTATTTTCACTCACAGTTCCCTGAATCAGGGGTCTTCTTCATCCGTGGTGGTTTCTTGTCCTTCAAAATTCACTTTAAGCCTGCAATCCTCGGTACTGCCCAACAACCCCAATACCTGCTCCTGCTCTTCCACTCTCTGAGAGAAGCAGTTCACATCTCCTCTCTTATACCTTCAACACTCCCTTCCCTCTCCCAGCTTCCTTGATCCCTGCATCACCCGAAAAATAAAAGCAATTGAAACAGACTTGCACTTGAGTCCACCCTCTAAATGTACTAATAACCCCTGATCTCTACCTATTAAATGAGTCATCATTCTTTCTCCCTCCCGCCTTTCTCTCTCTCTCCTCTCCCCCTTTCTCCCTCTCTATCCTTTCTGCATATTCAGGCTCCCTTTCTCTTTCTATAGCATACTAATATATTTCCTAGTTCTCATCTCTAAAAATATCCTCTCAGATGCCATTTCCCACTGTTCAGATTGTTAAAAATCAAAAAGTTTGATAACGGTGACACTGGGGAATGTGTTGCTGGTAAGAGTATAAACTGATGCAACTCTTATGGATGGCAATTGAGAAATATCTATCGATATTGAAAAAAACATAGCTTTACCCAGCATTTTCACCCCTGGAAGTTCATTCTATAGACATAATTGCATGAATATATTATTTACTGTTTTTTGAAGCAAGGTAAAGAATATTATGCATAAATTTCCTACCTTTTCAATAAAAACGTATGAACCAATATTTGCTGATATATGCATAAAAATCATTGAAATACATTATTTAATATATATATGAATTTATTATATATATAATTTATATATATATATATATATATATATATATATATATATATATATATATATAATAAAATGCCCTAGCCAAGTAGCTCAGTTAGTTAGAGCAGTGTCCTGATATGCCAAGGTTTGGGGTTCAATCCCTGCTCAGGGCATGTACAAGAATCCACCAATGAATGCATAAATAAGTGGAACAAAAAAAATCCATGTTTCTTTCTCTTTCTCTTCTCTAAAACCAATAAAATTTTTAAGTTAAATAAAAAGTCACCTTTTAGGGGCAGATGAGAGGAGTGGAGGGGAGACTTTTTATATATAACTTCATGTGTGTGATTTTTAATAATCTAAAACTATTATCTATTCTATTCCAAAAATATTGACTAATCTGTAATTTCTTTTGTAATGTCATTGTCCAGTTTTGGTACCAGGGTTATATTGGTCTAATAAAACTAGTTCGGAAACTTCCTTTTTTCTGAAAGTTTTAGTAAATTGGTGGGTTTTTTTTTTCTTTCTAACTGTTTACTAGAATTCACCTGTGAAACCATTTAGGCCCAAGTTTTCTTTGTGGGGAGGTTTTCATAATGAACTCAGTTTCTTTAGTCAATACAGGGCTGTGGCAGGCAGATTCTAATGGTTCCTGCCTCAGTCAACAATTTATTGCCTCTCAGCTCCCAATTGAGCTTTGCAACAGAATTCCTTTAAGCATCTGTGCACAATGCTCCTTTGCAGTGAACACAATGGTAAGTTTTCTCAGTAGAGGACAATGGAGAGGTAGTGGTCAGTGATATGGTGGTAAGGACATCCAGTGGAGATCTTGCCCAGTCACGTGGGGCCAGTACACTGGTCCCCTGATGGCCTTGCAATCTCAGCTGGCTCAGCAAATGATGACCCAGCAATCATTTTTCCATGACCCTCTCTCTCCACAGGGAAGCCAGGGCCCTGAAGGCTTTCTCCTTGCAAAGGCTTCCAAAGGCCTCCTGCCCGCATTGGCACCCAAGGGCTTCCTGTCGGCTGTGGTACCAGCTCCTTTCACAAGGTCCTGTGCAGCTTGACTGTGGCCCAGAGACTTGCCTTCTGCTGCCAGCAGCCAGTTCCAGCCTGGGAAAACCAGCAAGCATCTCTGCCATCCAGGGGCTGCACTTCACCTTCTTCAATGAGACCAATGAGAGCTGAACCCCAGTCTTGGTAAGTGGGCCCCTTTCCAACTTTGTCCTTCTTTAGGTACTCCCCCTAAGCCATCAGGGAGCCATATGGAATTTTTTACCTTATAGTCACATATTTAATAAACTTAAATAATTATTATTCAAGTGATTTAATGATGCTAGTAAACTTTCCCTGTATAATCCACTGTGTGGTTTCCCAGCAAGGAGATAAAGAAGTCATTCGGTCCAGCCCACACTCAGGGGGAGATTACCCATGGGTTTGGGATTTTTTCGGAGATCCCAAAATGACTGTAATGTTCAGGTTGGACCACTGCATTATATTTTCAATTGTTAAGAAAAATCATAGTCTTTGCATGATCATTACTTCAGTATTAACGATAAAGGAAATAAAACCATCCTGGAATTTCATTTCCTTCATTAACTTGCTTCTCCTTTGCCTCGATCAACTGCCTACAGTTCTTTGGGAGCTACATCAGGCCTTGAGCATGAACTGGACCTAGTGACCTGTTTCTAAGGAATAATGACAAAAGTGATGGGACGCTGCTTCCTAAATGAAGTGATACAAGATTTTGACTTCTTTGTAACTTTCACTCTCTCTCTCTGGCCTGCCTGTCTTGGGCTCTCCTTGCTTGCTGCTTGGATGAGCCAAACTACCATACTGATTGTGAGCTACCCTTCCGAGAGGCTCATGTGGCAACAGAAAGCCAAGACCTTCATCCCAACACTTCGGGAGGAACTGAATCCTGCCAGCAATCAGGGGAGTGCACTAGGAAGCAGACCTTTGCCCAAGTGAGCCGTTGAGGACTGCAGGGCCAGCCAACACCCAGATGGCAGCCTGAGAGAGCCAAAGGGGAGGGCCCATCTAAGGCACATGCAGACTGCTGACCTACAGAAAGTGTTAAGCCACTGGGTTTCAGGGCAATTTGTTACATGACAATAGATAACCAAGACAAGAGTTATTTCAATTTCCTTTTCATCTTGTATCTGTTTTGGTAAGTTGCATTTTTAAGGAATTTGTCCATTTCTTAGTTAAGTCCATATAGTCCATTTTATTCATTTACTTCAGAGGTAGACAAAAGACACCAGTTTATTTGCTCAAAAGCACTTCAGAAATTAAAAAAAAAACTTATGTACACACAAAAAACTTGTACACAAATGTTTACAGCAGCTTTATTTGTAATAACCAAAAAAATTGAAACAACCCAAATGTTCTTCAATGGGCCAATGTTTTTTTTAAAAATATGGTACATCTGTTACTATGGAGAGACTCATGTCAGAAGGCCCCACCCACCCACCCTGAGCTTGTTCCTCGGTTCCTGTCTCACTCACAAGAGAAGGATTCAAGCAAGAGACAAACATGTGTAGTGGAAATGAGACAGCAAGTTTATTTGTGAAACACACATGAGCACGGAACTATAGGCTGGTACCCAGCTCGTCTAAATGCCCCACATATAGAGGAAATAAAGCTGTATGTTTGTAAGTTTGTTCTATACACTTGAGCAGAGGCTACAAGTAGGTCCTTAGCTATTCTAAGTATGCCGACGACTGGGGTTCAGGGGTTCTATACCTTAGTCTGCTTCTAGGTTCCCTCTCCTTGTGCCCCTTCCAAACCTTGGGAATAATATCCACCTACAAGGGCTTTCTTTCTTAGTAAAGGCTGTCTAGTTAGTGAAGTTTGTTGCACCGGCTCCCTTCCTCCTGTGCTATCCCTGCCTGTGACGTTCAGAACACCTGGCAATCTCAGCGAGACTGTCACAGAAGCTTACAGAACCCCCACCCCCACCCCCTTTCCCAGCACAGTCTCAAAGACTTCCCTTCTCACGCGCTATATTTGCTTGTGATGCTCAGGACACCAGGCCATCTTATCAAACTGGGCTCGGGGCTGCTGAGTTAAGGTGAAATATGCCTCCCTTTTGCTTCTAACCTCTTATATTAAGTTCTTTGTTAGATTTCTTTGTTAGATTGTAGCGGCAGAGGTCCTGCTTTATTCTTCCTCTGGCTGCTCATTCTGGATGCTACCTAACACATCCATACCACAATGTACTACTCAAGCAATAAAAGGGAACAAACTATTAGTTATGCAACAATTTGGATGGATCTCAAGGGAGTTATGCTGAGTGGAAAAAAAGCCAATTTCAAAAGGTTACATTCTGTGTAATTTCATTTATATAACGTTCTCAGCATGATAAAGTTACAGATATGAAGGGCAGATGAGTGGTTTCCAGGGATTAGGGTGGGAGAGTAGGGATAAGGGGTGGGGGAGGGATATAAACATAAAGGGGTGGCACAGGGGTCACTGAAGTGATGGGACAATTGTCACCTTTTTCTTCACTTCTGTTACCTTGATAGTAATGGTGCTTTCATAAATATGTGATAAAAATGCATAGAACAACACACACGTGTGCATGCACATGCAAATGAGTACATGTGAAGCCAGTGAAATCTAAATAAGGTCTGTAGTGCCAATTTCTAGGTTCTCATATTATGTTATAGTTATGTAAGACGCTGCCTTTAGGGAAGTTGTGTGAAGGTTACCCGGGTCCTCACCATACTGTTGTTGCAATTTCCTGTGGATGAGTAATTATTTCAGAATGTAGTAAACTTACCAAATACTTCCATTGATCACCTCCCCTTCCATTACTCTCCAGCAGTTATGAGGTTGACTTTTTTGAATAAAGACCTTGAAGAGAGTGAGAGGTCTGGTGATGAAGCTATCGAAGCAGGTGGGGGAAGTCTTCTCTCCATAAAGGGCATACCTGTAGAAGGCCCTACAAGGGCGCATGCCCGCCGTGGTGAAGGCCAAGGCCACCGGTGTGGGAGTACAGTGAGCAGTGTCAAGGCAAGGACTGGCTTTCACTCTGTGTGATGTGAGTCGCATTTGGAGGCCTGGAGCACAGGAGTGAAATGATCCCCGAACCCTTTAGTGGACTCCCTGCAGCTGCTGTGGTGAGACTAAGCTGAAGGGCAGGAGCAGGGAGAACAGGAGGCTATGCCACCTCAAGTGAGAGAATTGGGACTTGAACCTAGTGGTGAGGAGTGGTCAAACTCTGAATATATTTGGGAGGATCTGCTGCTGGAACAGGTGTGAGAGCAGTCAAGTGCGTAAGGGCTGAAACAGGTAAGACAGAGATGTGGTCTGGGGAGTGGAGGAACCCCAGAAACTCGGATTCGGACATGTGAAGTTAGAGATGTCTATTGGGGATCCCAATGCAGATGTTCAGTAGACCGCCCTATCAAAAACTGTCCACAGCGCTGAGAATGACTACGCTCACCTTACAAAATCTCATCATCTGGTTGCATTATATTCATTCTGCTTCCTCATCTAAATATATCTTTTATTTCTTTTGTCCTTCCAAATTTCATGAAGTTAGGGGCTGGTTCACTCCAGTAGCCCTATTGTCTAGTACATAGTAGATTTTTAAAAAAATATTTGTTGAATGAGTCTCTGAAAACTTACATGGACCCAACCATTGATGATGTTTTTAATGCACCTGGGCAAAGACAGGCCCTAGCCCTTTTATGTTCACGCTGGCAGTAGTTCCCAAACTTTCCTGCACATTGGAAGCACCCAGGGAGCTTCAAAAGTACTCACGGCCCCACTCCTAGAGGTTGTGATTTTCATCAGTCCAGGGTGTAGTCTGGGCTTTGGGATTTTTAAAACATCCAGAGGTAGCCCTGGCCTGGTGACTAAGTTGGTTAGAACACCATCCCATGCACCAGAAGGTTGTGGTTCAATCTCTGGTCAGGGCTCACGCCTAGGTTGTGAGTTCGATCCCCAGTAGGGGTGCATATGGGAGACAGACGATCAATGTTTCTCTCTCACATCCGTTTCTGTCTCTCCATTCCTCTTTCTAAAATCAATAAACAGCCCTGAGCAGCGTGGCTCAGTTGGTTGGAGCATCGTTCCACAGCTGAAAGGTTGCAGGTTTGATTCCGTTGGGGCACATGCCTAGGTTTTGGGTTCAATCCTCCATCCCCCATCCCCTGTCCCAACGTGGACGTGCCCTGTACGATCCCTGGTCTGGGCAGTATGGGAGGCAACCAATGGACGGTTCTCTCTCCCTTCCTCTCTCCCTAAAAACAATGAAAAAAATGTCTTCAGATGAGGCTAAAAGAAATTGTTTTATATGATCAATAAATATATTTTCAAGTGAGGATTTAAAACAAAAAACAGACAAATAAGGGAAATAAAAACAAAGACACTGAAATAGAGAACAAGGGGACAGCGACCAGAGGGGAGAGGGGAGGGAATTTAAGGGGAAAAAATGGGAGGGATTTAGAGGAACAAGCATAAAGGACACAGGGACAATAGCTAAGGGGAGGTGGAAATGGCAGGGAGGTGGGGTGCATGGGGGAGGGGTGGGCTGGGATGGGAGAAATAAACAGAAAACTGTACTTGAAAAATAACTAAATAAAAATTTTAAAAAAAAGAGATCCCAAGGTGACTGTAATGTTCAGGTTGGACCACTGCACTATAGTTTTCAATTACTAAAAAAATCATGGTCTTTGCATGATAATTACTCCAGTATTAACTATAAAGGAAATAAAACCTTTCTGGAATTTCACTACTGTCATTAAGTTGCCTCTCCTTTGCCTGGATCAACTGTGCACGGTTCTTCCTCTTCTGGATCTCAGGGGTCGGTCCAGGGTTACATATTTCACAAATACACAAGATTACATTCTCCAAAAATATCAGTCTGTTCTCAGCAGTGAAGCTCTGGGACTCTACACCAAATTTAATCCACTATAAGGTATAGATGACTAATATACTCTCCCCACAAATCCCATCAACTACTCCCTCCTGCTTTTCAAATCTATCCCTTTTCCTCCATCTTCGCTTTGGCCATGCTCTACACTTACCTACTTTGACCTCACCTTCCAGCTGATCTGTCTCCAGCTTCAACTCACATTACTGCCAAAGTGATCTTTCCAAAACCCTAAGTTGTTCAAATCACCTAACTTCCAAGACGCACTAGCAGCGTCTTTGGTATGATATTCAATGTCCTTTTTAGAGTCTCTACCTACCTCATCTACCTGTATGACCCTGGGAAAATTCTCTAGGACGATGCCTCAGTTCCCTCATCTGTAAAATGGTGGCAATCATGGTCCTAGATTGTAATACACCCACAGCAATTACTGTGTCTGGAACACATGAAGTTGCTCTAAGAGGTTAGGTAAGCTGTTCTTTAAATGTTCCTCCCGCGGTAACACTTGTGGCTAAATAGGTTCCAACCACCACCAGCACCCCTTGTGGAAGGCAGAGCAATTCTACTATTTTTCTTGTTTTGAGGTTCTTCAGCAAGTTAACATCTCATGTACAAAAGAAGGATCATAATAGCCATAGTGAAGGGTTGTTTTCTCCCCCCTTATCTCTGCTTGGTGAAATATTGTTCAACCTATGAAGTCTAACACAAGGTCACTTTTCAAAGCACCTCCTCTGGCTCACCACCACCACTACCCACCTCATAATTTCCCTTCTGGAGTTTTCACACATTGGGACATAGTTCACTGAGCTGGTTATTCGGATTGGTCTCTCCCATTTTCACACTGTGAGCTTCTAGATGTTTCTCTCTCTCTCCGAAGGGCTCATGTTTCATTGACTTTTAACCTTAAAGACCAGCACAGAGGGGTTTTAAAATACATCACCTGAGTGAATGAGTAAAACTTCACTCAAGGCACAGTGAACATGGTGTGTAGATTCACTCAGGCCATTTTCTGTTCATATGCTGAGATTCCACAGAACTGACTTCACACTTGGATAACATTACTTTGTATCTGTTATTTGTGTATTTGCCCTGTTTTCTCCACTAAGAAAAATATTATGAGTTGAATACTTTTAATTGCTAATATTATCTTTGTCCTCATTTCCCACTGAATGAATGAGGTGACTGATTGAATTAAGGAATATTTCCACCTCTCTGTTCTATTAATTTCTTTTGGATCCTTCCCAATGATGTATACAAGTATAAATCTCCACTTAATATCTGGTAGCTTAGTTAAGCCAAAAAATAGACCAAGGAAATCAAGATAACTAAAAAGCACCATCAACTTAATATTGACACTAAACAAACAACTTTTAAGGTGGACAAATAATTTTATTTTGTGCATGCAAATACATGTCAAGTACTGCAAACTTTTTCCATCAATTTTCTCTCAAACACTGAAAATCATGATGCTCTATTCTGTGAACAGCCAAAGCTAATATCTCTTCACTTCAGTCCTACAGCAAAAACACACAGAATTCACTCTTTGCTATTCACTATCATCACAACCCTCATTGTTCCATCTCTGCCCTCCCCCCATATACAAGCCTTATAAGTCCTGGCCTTCCCCCAGTTAATCCTATTCCTATAGCACAAAGGGAAACATTACAATTTGGAAATTCAAATTGAAATAAATGGAATAGAATTTATTCCCATATATATTCCCCATTTCATTGTACAGAATTATTTTAAATTATAGTTTTAAATAGAAGCTGAGTATATGCCTTAAAAATGAGCATTAAATCCATCTTAGAGATGGTGCCTGCTTTTTACATGATGGGTGTACACCATCTTTAATTTCATTTACATTTCAATCGAACAATAGATTTGCAAAGAAAATGTCTAATACAGACGTAAAAATATTCACACTAGAGCTTCACAATCGGTTGTACAATTGACAAACAGGCCTCTTTTCCCAAACTTTCCAGCTAAGCAAATTTATAAAATGTAATCAATGCAACAAGAAAAACATTTCTCTTTCACTTCCAGGGAAAAGAATATGCAATAAACAGTATAAATGCAGACAGCAGTTGCTGCAAGCTAACCACGATACTCCCAAGTGGCTGTACAGTGGATATGTGCAGTACAAATAAAAGCCACATGTGTTGTATCACAACTACAGTATAATTGTTTGCCCAGCTAAGAGAATGCATGCACTTCCATGCCTTGGGTTATAAAGTGAGGCCTAATTCTTGACAGATCGATGGAATATATGCAAATGACCTTGGCTTTTGGCAGTACTAAGTGCAGCCAGTGTCTATGTTCCACTGGTTTGAGGATATTTTTAAATTTTTATTTTTAAAAAAAGGCCAATTTCAGACTTGGGGGAATAACTGCTCTTGGAGTAAAAATAAGACTCCAATGTAGAGTATTCTGATCAGTGGCCTTGACCCCTTGTATTCCCTTGCCAGCAAAGGGATACAAAGAAACTGCTAAAGAAGTAACTAG